CCACAGATCCCTCTTTAATAATAGTATAAATATCTAAAAACTTACTTTTTAGTCCAAATTTGACGTAAAACCCTTGTTTGATGCGTCTCTCACATCACTCATCCGAAAAAGAGTGATTTCTTCCCTAAAAAAAATTTGAGAGCTTGGCCATTGTATAATGTTTGCAGTTTTAAAATATTTGCATCAAACTTTATTTCCCGTCTGTGATTCTGTTCTTCCACCCTGCAGTTTGTTCTTATATGTTGCATAACACTAGCAGGAGTACAACAGAAGGGAAGTGGCAGAGAGGGAATGACAGAGGCAGGCCTAAGCATGTTCCTTATATTCTTCTATCTCCTATTTATTGCATGGTATGAAATTTGGATGAGAAAATAATACAATAGATGGTGTGTGGAACATCACAATCTGCATTTTCAAAAGCTTCTTGCAAATTGAATTTTACCGCTCCTGCATTCATGAAAATTTATGAATAGGGCAATCATTTAAGTTTTCTTCCAAACGATGTGATGTATCAAATTCATGAATTGGATAGTCTTTCAACACGATAATAAGCATATGTATTCCTTTTCTCAATATATTTTAAATATGCTAATATTGTTGGATGATGTTGAATTTAATTGGTTCTGTTCTATATGTTTTATTCAGATGTTGTATTTGCTAAGAATCTGTCAGTCGTGAGGTCAGTGATGTATGGTTTCAATGTGGGCAAACTGGAACAGTGAAAACGCTCACTATGGAAGTTGTTCCAGATAATAGCTGTGTTAGTTGATTTAATCAAGAAGTGTTACTGAACCAATTCTATTTAATTTAGCATACTTGACATAGTAATGAGCATATTTTAGCAATGGGATAATGACATCCGAACTTTTGTTTCACTTGCATCTTGGTTAGGGTCACCATCATGAGAGGGCATTTGCTTACTGGGCAAAGGAGTAGAACCCACATATGGTTGTTTGACCATGCTGGAAGTGACCACTTGCCCAAAACTGAATTAGAAGGAGAGAGGTATAAGGAGGCAAAGTTCATCGACAAGTCACTGTCTGCACTGGGTGATGTTATTGCTTCCCTTACCTTCAAAACGCCCATGTACATGTTTATTCACCTTCATTTTTGTTTTGTACAATCACTGAAACTGATTGCGTGCATGCAGCAGTTCATTAGTGCCTATTTAATTGATTATCCATGACAAAAATAGCTCTTTGTAGCGTTCTCTATTCTTGAGGCTGTCGAAAACTCAATGCTTATAAAGAGTAAACTTTTAGTGTGACCATCAATGGATTTATTTTATAGATTGCAGTGGCTTTGCCAAAGTATCAAGGCAACCATTCAGATGTTGGCGACAATGAGGCACTAAGAAAGAAGAGTGCATATGTGGCTTTGTCTAACTTGTCAAGACCAGGCTCACGCTATTGCTTATATCTTGCTTGTTAAAATTCACATCTTCTACACGTGATAAGCAAGTTGCACTGATTTTTCCAAGTGCATTCCCAGTATAGTAGTATTTCTTTCTTCAGATGCATCATTGTATTTTTATAAATGCATGTTCCAGTGTAGTAGTTCTTTGTTTTCCAAATGCATGTTCTAATTCAAATAATTAGTTTCAAGGTGCGGCCATCATATGTCATCAGGATCATTCTTAACCTGCAAATTTTTACTCCCTCCGTTCTTAAATACAAGTCTTTTTGGAGATTCATATATGGACTACATACGGAGCAAAATGAGTGAATCTACACTCTAAAATAAGTCTATATACATCCGTATGTAGTGCATATTGAAATTTTGAAGAAGACTTATATTTAGGAACGGAGGGAGTAGTTTTTAGTTGTAATCAAGTTAGATAGCTTTTAGTTCGCACAACTTCATTGTCTGATTATTCTAGCTTTACACATGACGTTGTCTTTTTTTGTATCTTTCAGATAATTAGAGGAGGCACAACCAACTAAGAATCATGTCAGGTGAAAGGTACAAGCTATTATGGTTATCCTAGGGCATATGGTAGTTTTTTCGATAGAAGAATTAAAGGAGTAGCATTACGAGATATGAGTGACTGGACTTTTTGTGTACGCTCAATTACCCATTGTGTACTGAATTTTCTGTAATTCAGCACGTGAGTTGTGGTCAAATTTAAAAGGGGATTTAATTTGTTTCGATTGAATATGCGTGTCCTAATGAAAAAAATTCCTCGGATATAGCGTCCGTTGCACGTGCATATTTACTAGTATATATAAACAATAGTAATTTATTAATACAAATATAATGGCAAAACTAATAGGACATGAATGAAGTATATATAAAAAAAGTATTCCACTGAAAAGTAAATATTTCGACTGTTTGTGAAAATTTTGGTCAGACTCCTAAGAGCATCTACATCCGGACTTGGCAAAACCGACCCCCTATATGTCTGCGGACGCGCGCGAGCACGCCCACGGGCGCATCCGGAAGGGCACTCATATTTCGCTCCCGGCATCCACATATCTCAAATGTGGACCCTCAAATCCATAAAAATCCATGCACATTGATCATAAAAGTCAATGTTGCACATAAATAACAAATGTTGGTACCGAGCATAGATAGTGTTTACATAAAATTTATTTTAAGTGCACAACTCAAGAATTAGCTCCTTGGTTTCCATTGTGGGTCCACATGTGCTCCACAAGATCATTGAGTAGTTGCGTGTGCACCTGATGATCTCAAAGATTTTGATGCATCTGCAGAAAGTTCATAAGCTGAGCCGCATCTTGATCTTCCGAGATTTCAACCTGTTCTCCAGGTGCTTCAAAATCATTGGTTTGGGCTACACCATCACCCTCATCATCGACAATCATATTGTGCAGAATAACACAACATGTCATCAGTTGCCACAAAGTTTCTAATTCCCACATCATTGCAGCGCTCCGCATAATTCACCAACGAGCTTGAAGTACACCAAATGCCCTCTCCACATCATTCCTAGCCGCTTCCTGCATTGTTGCAAAGTGGCTTTGTTTATTGCCATGCGGTTCGGATATGGTCTTTGCAAACGCCGCCCACTGAGGATAGATACCATCGGCAAGATAGTATCCCATGTTATACTCTCGGCCGTTCATGGTGTAGTTGCACGGCGGTGATTCCCCATTGCAAAGCCTCCTGAACACCGGAGATTGTTGAAGCACGTTGATGTCGTTGTGAGAACTGGACATTTCATAGAAAGCATGCCAATCCATAAGTCATGTGATGCCACTTCTTTCTAATATGATGGTGGCCTCTCTGGTGTGACCTTGATACATTCCCCACAAACTTTTGGGGCATTTATTCCATTGCCAATGCATGCAATCAATTGATCCGAGCATCCCTGGAAACCCCCTTGCCTCTCCAATAGCCAACAACTTCTCCGCGTCCTGCTCATTTGGTTCTCTAAGGTACTCAGGCCCAAACACCTCCACCATGGTGCGGGAAAAATTGACAGTAGTCTTCAAGCACATGCTCCCCCCATCCTGACCATCTCACCAACGGCATCTGTAGCAGTACCAAGTGCAAGCATCCTCAGAGCAGTCGTGCACTTCTGCTTGGCAGAGAAAGAGAGTTGTCCGCAACAATCCCTTGTGAGCTTGAAGTAGTCGTCATGTGCCTCCACTCCCTCCATGATGCGCAACACGATGGTTTCCGCATGCGAAAACAGCGAAGAAACCATGGATCATCCGGGAAAGTGGGACTGGGAGCAAAGTAGTCATTGTGCAATAGCTTTGCTCCGGACACCATATCCCTCTTGATCACTCTTCTCCCTTTGATTGAGCCCTTGAAGTTGAGAATATGCTCCACTTGCCGGTCCATTTTCTCTTGCATGCTCATGAGCATGATCATGCCCACTTCTTCGTCCGAATCCGAGGAATAGAAGAACTCATCTTGAATCATTTGATCAAGCTCCGTCGGTCCATACTCCTCGTCCGACGAAACATCGGAATCCATCTTTTCCCTAATAAAATCACAAAAATCTGGCCTGACAATGTGTCGAACACATCGAGCGTATGGTGGAGGCAGAGAGTTGCCGGATGTACCGTGGTGGCATCCGGGCAGGCGACGGCGTCCCCCGCGGTGAGGACTCCTCTGCCGGAGCTGACGACGCAGAGGCTAGGAATGGTTGCGGAGCGCGCGCATCGATAGAGCTGCGAGACACATGACGGGGAGGAGGAATAAGAGAGGAGATAACAAATGGATCCGGCAGGTCTTGGGGGTGGAGTGCAATTTGCGGTGGGGTCGGCCTGTCAAGTCCGACGTGACGGGCGTGCCCGGACGTCCTATATCTGCCCCATATTTAGGCTGGATATATGAGGGGTGTCGATCAGCTTGGGCGTTTGAGGCCCGTTTGAGGCGCCTGTCTCGATCGAAATTTCGCAACTGGGCAATGACCAGGCGTATTAGGCGGGTTTAAGGCGCCCGATTGTAGATGCTCTAGCAAAATACGTAATAGCCCTGTAATCTGAAACTGCTATGGCCGATGATGTCACGTGCCTATCTCTGAAGACTGAACCAATTTCTCCAACGGATTCATGCATGCACGAAGCGTAGGTGTATTGGCCGACCTCCATCACTATGGCTAAGCAAACAGACGGCACCTGACGTACGTGTAGCTGGACAGACTGTTGACCCAGCCACATACATACGACCCTGTTAAAAATGTTGTTCTGCAGCAATTATTCCTTTTTTCTATTGCCAATGCCAAAACCAGTCAGATTTTATGAGGGGAGATCGTGTGACAGGGCAGATTACCCGGGGATGCCGCCGTGTGGGATCTGGGGAACATTCCACACCGATCTCGATCGAGCGGACAAAGTTGAGGCTGAAATGTCAAAAGCATATGTGCTCTGAATCTAGCTAGTGGTATTCATTTTCCGACGAATTGCAGAATTCTACGGTTCATTTCGGGTCGACGTACGCAGTACGTTGCGTGGGCCCCACACGAGGACACGGAAGCTTGGAATGGAAACCAGGGATTACTGGCTCACCGTGTTGCTATGGCTGGTATGGCGTATTTGTTTTGGCTGGACGGGTGCAACCGTGCACCTATATATATGCACAGACACACAGAGAAAAAGAGGGAGGCAGAGTCGCAACTCGCAACCCCACTAGCACAAGGCCAACGTAAGCTTGATCGCCCGCCGATGAAGAGCTTCCTGGTCTCTTCCGGCGACGAGGAAGAGGGGGCGGCGTTGGTGCCGCCTCAGGAGGACGGCGGCAAAGCTGCTGATCCTGCGGTTGAACGCTTGTCGCCGTCTTCGCCATCAACGACGAAGCCGTGGTGGAAGACCTCGCTGCTGTCGCCGACGAAGGGCGCCGTGGGGCTGGTGATCGGCGGCCTCGTGCTCCTCGCGCTGCTCGCCGGCGCCAAATGGATCGACCTCGACGCCGTAAGTACACCCTACGCCCCACCGAGTCAGACACACACATGCATGCGTGCGATTATTCATCAATTTCGATCAATCGTGCCATATCTTAGTAGAATTAACCACGCGCGCAGTGAACCTAGCTAATGGAACAGCAAATTAAATGGACTAATGGAGTGCATTGATCCGTGAAGATTTTTTCGACCGGTTCCAAGGTCAAGTCCTGGTACTACTATTCCATACGCCGTTCGCGACGGGCAAACGGAATCGCCCGCTACGAGTCAAATCAGTGGACTACTCTCCATGGAGATCACTGGCTCGCTGGACCAATGTGCGCGCACAGGTTCCTATCAACGTATACTTTCACGATGGACTTTGAAGATAGGAGCAGAAAAACAGACCATCTGTGTAGAAAAATCAATTCGTATTTTAGGCAACGTCAACCTCGATCAGCGACGGGACAGAACTAGTCGTTCGAAGTGGGCCTGTGACGGCAATACGTGTATAGCTTTGAGCTCACGATCGAGGAAAGTGCCTCGCCCTCGCGGGATGCACGCGCATGATAGTATGACAGTAGTAATACTACGTGTCAGCATAGCAGTATCTCTCTTCGTAGCTTTCTATTTTGCCTAGCTAACTGAGTAAATTGCACAGAAATACCACAATTGGGGCATTGGAAGCAGATTGGTACCAAGTTTGGTAATTTTTACATGTCAGTACCAAGTCTGGGGCTATACGTTACAAAAAGGTCTAAATCGCGTATAAACGTGTATTGACAGTGTATCTGACCGGCGGGGCCCGCCTGTCAGCTGCCGACGTGGCATTTTTTTGCAGAAAACCCCCGCACGGCGGCGCCCGGTCTGGATCGAGGGGAGGATCCCCTCGAGCCCGAGCTCCTCTCCTCGAATCCGACGAGCGAGCGGGTCCGGCTGTAGACGGTGGACATGGTGGTGGCCGCGGTGACCACAGAGCTGGTGGTGGACCCGCACTCGCTGTCCTTGAGCGACGCCGTCGACGTGTCCAGCCTCACCGACGTCGACGACGACCACGGCCGGTGGAAGAAGGGCGACTGGCGCGGCGCCGACCCGGCCTGCTGCTGCGACGACGACCGCTGCATCCTGGCGCCCCGCGGCACGCTCCTGTGCTCCGCCCCCTTCCTCCTGCTCGGTTGCCGCTCCAGCGCCTCCGCGGCAACGCGCTGCCTCGGCGCGCTCTGGGACCGCGCCTTGGCCCTCGACGACTCGGTGTTGCTCATGTAGCTCGGGAACGGCAAGTCCGACGCCGCTGGCTCCGCCATGGCCGTCGTCGCGTTGTGGGAGTGGGAGTGCGGGCTGCTGTGCGCCGTCCCGAAGGACAGGTGGTCCTCCACGTGCCAGTTGCTCGCCCTCGGGCTCAGCTCCGTCATGGCCGACGGCGCCGGCGAGCACCTGCCGCCGTGGTGGTACTCGACGGAGGAGAACTGCCTGTCGCCGCCCTTCGCCCCGCCGCGCCGCGCTGGCTGCTCGCCGCTGTCCATCTCGACGATCTTCACATTCTCCTCGCTCGACCGGTCCATCTCCTGCATGTTCCAAGCCAAATCGAGACCGAGGCGAAGGAGCTCGGGCTCGAGGGGCTCCTCCCCTCGATCCAGATCGAGCGCCGCCGCGCGTGAGGACGAAGGAGGTGCGGGGGGTTTTCTGCAAAAAAAAATGCCACGTCGGCAGCTGACAGGCGGGCCCCGCCGGTCAGATACACTGTCAATACGCGTTTATACGTGATTTAGACCTTTTTGTAACGTATAGCCCCAGACTTGGTACTGACATGTAAAAATTATCAAATTTGGTACCAATTTGCTTCCAATGCCCCAATTGTGGTACTTCTGTGCAATTTACTCTAGCTAACTTGATATCTGCAGTTAACAGGACCATGCGAATATATCTGCATATTTTAATTTATGCGATTGTAATCTCGAATAACGAATTAAAGATCCGGCCCGGCCATCGGCATGGAAACTGACAAAATATTCCGTTGCTTTGACTTTGTGAGCCATGACTTGCTTCTCTAGCTCTGGCGCTGAGAAGGATGGAGAAGCCGCAAGAGCTTCTTTTCAAATACTTCGGCAAATATATACACGGACCAAACGTAAGTCCAATTCTTAATTAGGAGATCCAAGTGACGACATGTGCAGTGAGGTGTCTAATTCTTCTTGGCAGCAAGTAAACTAAAGTCTCAGCCAAGTCATCTGCATGCGTAATACGTGCCAGGCTGGCTAAGAATAAGAAGACACGTAGTACATAAATAAATAAAAATTACACGTAGTAGAACTCATGCGTGACCGCGCAAATTACTACTCTATATTCCGACATTGAGATCATCCGATCGCTAAGTCTCTTGACAGGAGTTTTTCCATGACATTTGGGCAGAACACCTCTC